GTTCACCCCCCGGAGCCGTGTGAGACACTTTTTTTTGTGGAAGGGTGCTTTTTATTTCACGTCTTTTGAAAGTGATTTTGTGCCTCTTTGGGATGGCACAATAAGGGGCCATTCACACAGAACACATCTTTGCGTCTAAAAACGCCCTCAGGAATGTTTTTTTAAAAAGCGCAGCGTAGAACATGAGGGTCTCGAGACTCACTTTTGAGACATGATGCAATAATGACAATAATGGTTGAATGGTTGACAATAATGTCTGACACAATGGTTTCACCAAATACACTTTGTGTGTATTTGTCCATTCAAGTGTGATGAGACGCCAAAGAACTCAATTCAGTATTGGTACGCTGTTAAATTAAAATCCATGTGATGAAATTCTTTTTTTTTTTTATGAAGTACGCCCACTCAGGTACTTGTTTAGTCAGATTTTACTAGAAAAGATTTTAGATTATTTATGATACGTTCATTTAAAAAAAATCTTGTGTAATTTTAACTGCTGTATTTTGTTTGTTTGGTTATGTAACTCTTGTATTTGCCATGAAGATAGCCTTAGATGGTGACATGACAATAAAAACAAATGACTGCTACTGTCAGGATTCACTGAAAGGAAGGACCCAAATGCAGTTAGAAATGCTACAAAGTTTTATTCAGTGATGAGGGTATTCAATAATGGACTGAAAACTTCCAGATCCAAAAATCCAGGAGCCCAGTGAAACAAGTCAGAGTCCAAGTAGATCAAACACCAGGCGAGCGATAGTCCAAGACAGGTGAAGGTCATTAAAGATGATAGCCCAGGCCAACTTAGCAGGATCAACGAATATAAATAGTAATCCAGAACAAAAGTCCAAAAATCCAGATGAACAGACCACTGGTCAAGGAGCATAGGCAGTCCAGACATCAAATGGAATAAATGGGTAAAAGAAGAAAAAAAGAAAACAAGACCAATAACTGATGAACCAAAACAAGAATCGCGTGTAAAGCGTAAGCGACAAAACACACTGACAAAGACAAAGAAAAAACATGAGATTTAAATAAGGAAAGAATAGATAAGAAAATAACAAACAGCTGTGAACGCGTGCCCAACCGTGCTGATTGCAAAACTCAATCAGCTGAGTGCGTCTGGTACGCGTGAATGAAAACAAAAAGCCGCGAACAAGTGCACCACCACTCCGATCGTAAACCGCGATCAGCTGATCGCAGCCAGCACGTGCAAACACAAACAAAAACAAAAGATCATGCAGGAGAAAGAGACAGATCAAATCCGAATCCTGACAGTACCCCTCCTCCCAGGGACGCCACCCGGCGTACTCCTGGTTGAGGGGGTCTGACGGCGATGAAACTCCACGTTGAGCGAGCGGTCCAGAATGCAGGGATAGGAACATGAAGAGAATGGGAAGAACGTAGGACAGGTTTAACACGGGAGACATGAAAAACTGGATGGACACGACAGAGAGGTTGAGGCAACCGAAGCCGCACTGCCGCCGGACTGACCACCTTGACAATAGGAAAAGGCCCTATAAATTTGGGTGCCAGCTTACGAGCCGGAACCTGAAGCGGCAGATCTTTAGTAGAGAGCCACACCTTTTGCCCACAAACATACCTGGGTGCCACAGTCCGACGACGGTCAGCAGCTTTTTTAGTACGTCCCTCAGACCGGACCAACGCTTCCCTGGCCCTCCTCCAGGTACGATAGCAGTGCTGGATAAAAGCCTGGACTGAGGAACCTGCAGCCTCAACAGCCTGTGAAGGAAACAAAGGGGGTTAATAACCAAGGCAACACATGAACGGGGAAAGCCCAGTCGAGGACACTGGCAAGGAGTTATGGGCATATTCAGCCCAAGTTAGCTGCTGACTCCAGGAGGAGGGGTTATGGGAGGCCAGGCATCGGAGCATCCGCTCAAGATCCTGGTTTGCACGCTCGGCTTGGCCGTTGGTCTGTGGATGGAATCCTGAGGACAAACTGGCGGAAGCACCCAGCTGTCGACGATGCTTGCCTGACTTGACCCTCGACACCCCAGGCGACGGCCCCCACCACACGGCCCAAAGGCAAAATAGTGTCAGGGGGAGACTCATCGACAGGCGAGCCGAACTGCCGGGACAGAGCGTCAGGCTTTCCATTCTTGGAGCCTGGTCTATAAGACAGCACAAAGTTGAAGCTCCCAAAAAACAGTGCCCAACGAGCCTGTCTGGAGTTCAACCGTCTGGCCGATTGAATATACTCCAGATTCCTATGATCAGTCCACACTAGAAATGGAATCATCGTCCCCTCCAACCAATGACGCCACTCTCCCAAAGCCAAGCGTACTGCCAGCAGCTCTCTATTGCCGATGTCGTAATTTCGCTCTGAGGGAGAAAGGCGATGAGAAAAATAAGCACAAGGGTGCAACTTATTATCATGAGGGGATCTTTGGGAAAGAACTGCTCCGACACCCACCTCTGACGCATCCACCTCCACCACAAACTGTCTACTAGAATCCGGCAAAATAAGAATAGGAGCGTTAGTGAACCTAGATTTCAAATCATCAAAAGCTGCCTTAGCAACACTAGACCAACAAAATTTGGACTTGGTGGAGGTTAACGCTGTCAGAGGGGCCGCCACCCGGCTAAAGTTTTTAATAAAACGCCTACAGAAATTGGAGAATCCCAAAAATTGTTGTAAGGCTTTTCTTGAGCCAGGTACCGGCCAGTCAGAGACAGCTCTAACCTTCGCAGGGTCCATGCGAATCCCCTCTGCCGAGATGATAGAACCCAAGAACGAAACCGACTGGCCATGAAAAGTACACTTCTCCGCCTTCACGAACAATTGATTCTCCAACAACCTCTGAAGCACTCGCCTGACGTGCTGGATGTGCGCCTGGAATGAATGAGAAAAAATTTAAATATCATCCAGGTACACAAATACAAAGTTGTCAATCATATCTCTCAGCACGTCATTGACGAGAGCTTGGAAGACGGCCGGAGCATTGGACAGCCCGAAAGGTAAAACCAAATATTCAAAATGTCCAGTGGGTGTATTAAAGGCCGTCTTCCACTCATCCCCCTCCCTAATCCGAACTAGATGATAAGCATTGCGCAGATCCAATTTCCAGGGGTACCTGTTCTTAACAGTTATGTCATTCAGCCCACGATAGTCAATGCAGGGGCGCAAAGAGCCATCCTTCTTCTTCACGAAAAAGAACCCCACTCCCGCCGGAGAGGAAGAGGGACGAATCAAACCTGCTGCTAGAGAATCCGATAAATATTTCTCCATGGCCACCCGCTCGGGTGCAGACAAGGAGAAAAGGCGCCCGCGAGGAGGAGAAGTGCCGGAAAGAAGATCGATTGTACAATCATACGGTCGATGGGGAGGAAGAGAGGCAGCTCGGGACCGACTGAAGACCGCACGCAGATCATGGTACATGTCAGGAACCAGGGAGAGGTCCACCTCCTCCTCCTGCAACACAGAAGATAAAACAGAAGACGGAGCAGACACAAGACAAGAAGCATGACAACGAGAACTCCAAGAGAGAATTATATTTTCTGCCCAATTAATATGCGGGTTATGGAGAGAAAGCCAAGGGTGACCCAACACAAAAGGAACAGAAGAGGAATTAAATAAATAAAATTCTAGTTCCTCCCGGTGGTTACCTGAGGTAACCAAACTCACCGGACCAGTGATCTGAGTAACTGCCGTGAGCTGCTGTCCATTAAGAGTGAACGGTGAGAGGAGAGGAGAGAGAAAAAATGGGGAGACCATAGTGATGAGCCCATTCAACATCAACAAAATTCCCCTCCGCTCCCGAATCAATGAGCACGGAACATTTAATGACTGAGCCATTCAGTAATACTGAAGCAGAAATGAGAGTACGAGAGCCCTCTGATGGAGAAATTGAAGTACCGCCCGGCCAGAACTCTCCTGTCTACTGGTCGGCGTTGACTTTTACCGGACAGACAGCCATGACCGCCACAATATAGACAAAGACCCTTTAAAAGTCAACGTTGCTTCTCTTCGGTAGTAAGTCGCATTCTCCCCACCTGCATAGGTTCAGGGTCAGATGATTCAGGAACTCGGAAAACAGAGGGGGAAACAGATAATTCAGCCCGTGACCAGCTGGTACTTCCTCGAACTTTACGCCTCAGTTCCATACGGGAATCCAAACGAATAGAATCTGTCGGCGATCAAATATTCAATATCGCTACTCATAAGTACTTGGCACATTATCAGTGCAGCGGCAGACGTTCAAACTAATATCACGTAATTTACGTATCTATGATGATTGGTTGATATACCAGAAGGGAGGCTAGCCTCCCCTGCAAGGTTTTTTTTCTCAACACTCCTCAGCGCTGAAAGTAAACACTCGATGGTATATAGGTAATTTTGCCATTCATGACAACTGTGAGGGGGGTGAATTTTTTTTATAACTCATCCGTTTAAATTGTATTAAGCCTTAAGGGTGTGGCAGGTGGATTGCCGCTGCTGTCACCACTGTCGAGCTAGGTGGGCGTCAAAAACGCTCTTCAGAAACCTACGGGTGACGTCACGGACACTACTATGTTTTTATACAGTCTATGGTGCCACTCTATATTGGAGCCTTTCTTCTTATAATAATTTTGTGCAATTAATGATTATTAATAGCCTTTCTTGTTCTGTCCTATCTATCATATATTGCTGCCTCCATTACTGTGCTATACATTTAAAAGTAATGTATTTTAATTTATAGTATATATTTATATATAAATATATTTACTTGTTTTTCATGAATGCATTTAACAACAAGCTACCAAGATGGCGATGGCCGGCTCCGCCAACTTTGAGGTTCAAAAACGCTCTTCAGAAACCTACGGGTGACGTCACGGACACTACTATGTTTTTATACAGTCTATGGTGCCACTCTATATTGGAGCCTTTCTTCTTATAATAATTTTGTGCAATTAATGATTATTAATAGCCTTTCTTGTTCTGTCCTATCTATCATATATTGCTGCCTCCATTACTGTGCTATACATTTAAAAGTAATGTATTTTAATTTATAGTATATATTTATATATAAATATATTTACTTGTTTTTCATGAATGCATTTAACAACAATACAAAGAGCAATGTAATATTTTACCAGATTTAGTCCTACACTTAAGTATTAACTATAAATCAAACAAACAAAACATATTTCTCTAAACTCTTTCAGGAGTGCTCAGATAGCTGACCTGCAACAGAAGGTCCTGGATGCGGATAATGAGGGACGGATAAAGCAGCGCTGGGATTCTATCACAACCATAGTAGAGGCCAAGAGCGCCCTGAAGATTCTCATGGCTGAGGTAAAGGCAAAACATTGCAACATTTAAGGATTATTAGTAAGAGTATAATTATTTTCTTCATAGAAGTAAAAATATTTAAGTGGTTCCTTTTAAAGGGCAGTACTTTTTACTGTTTACACTTACAAAATTTACCATAGTCTCCACCAAAATACCATCGTAACTACTGTAACATCATAAAACTTAAATAGATTACAAGGTGATCTGCTCTTCAAATAGTCTACAGAGTTTTCCCACAGGATTTTGAGACAGTGGGGGGTGACCTTTTGGGAAGAAATTTTTGGAGTTAAGTCTGGTGCACTTTAAGAGTTCACAGTTGAGAGTTCCACCCCCTTTTTAGTGACCAAATTGAACAGTAAAAGGTCTTTGCATCGTCTTGTACCTGGATTTTCAACAACAGTGTGTTGCTGTGACCTGTTTCATCAAACTGTTAGTGAAGATGTTGTTGTAAAAATCACATTATTAGACAGTTGTATTGCAGTTGCATTCAATTGTATCACATTTAAATTGTATCATCCACATGGACCATCCTGATGATTGCAGCTTATAGCTATATTTATTATAGAGGGTTAAAAAGAATACTTTTGCGAACTAGTCCTCGATTTTTGATCAATCACAACAAAACCAGTGTAGTAAATGTACTGTGTAGTCTGGACTCCTAAGTCCAAAAAAAAATTAGAATTTTAGTATTTGGATGGCTATAATAGGGTCATTTAAAAATGTGGTTACACCTCACCACAGGTAACACAGGTTTAAAAATGAGGCTACACTTCACACCTGTTACACCTCAACAAATGCTCATATCTTCTCCAAATTATGTAAGCATGTGTGACATGACTCTAAACAGGCACACACAATTTTATGGATGTTGGGCAATAGTTACTTCTATAACAGTTAAAAAGGTGAAAAATTACTAAATTCCTATGGTAAATTCCCTAAAAATTGCCATTATAACCACTAGATGGCAGCAGAGGTCCACTCATCGTATGCACTAATAGGCATTGTTTTTATTAATAGACACTAATAGGCATTGTCTGGATTTATATTTAGACATTATAAAATCATAATAAATGTACAAATCTTAATTTGTACTGATTTATCAGTTTTTGCTAGGGATGCACCGATACCGATACTGGTATCGGTATCGGGCCCGATACTGGTCTCCTGTACTCGTACTCGTTAAAATGGCCGGATGTTCACTCACTTAGCATGCATCATTTGGAATAAAACTAAATCGTAAAAATAAGTCCATTTATAGGGGCATTCGCTATAAATGTCATTTATTTTTAACCTTGGGCATACACGACTTTCTGGCGAAAGTGAATCTAACAGCCTGTGTGAAATGTGCTACACTGTCCTACTGTCCTCTCATTCTGCATCAGTACAAATACATGCACGCGTTGCGCGTGTTTTACTTGCTTGAGTGTTTCTGCATTATATGAGTGGCTTTGGAATATAAATCGCAGCACGTTTCAGATGAAAAAACGCGAC